ATTCAAATTTTAGAACAATACATTACTCAATTTGGTAGTTTAAAAGTAAATATAAAAAAAACAGATAAACATCGATTTTTGTATATCACATGGTATGTTAAATACAGCACTGGTTCAAATTAGATGTTTGTGAAGTCAAAATACTAAGTCTATAGTTTCATACGATTAAAAACTCAAATTTCAGATATTGACAAGCTAGAATATAAAGTGAGAAGGTCTTATTTTTTCTATTTGCTAAGATATTGCTCACAGAATAAATCAAACCCAGTGGCACCCTGCCCACCTCTTTCCATTTTTGGAAATGCTCCCTTATATACACTTACTTCTATATATGACATGAATAATCAATTGGATGTTCAGAATGTCCCCCTAGTGGCTTTTTCAGCTATTTTAATGGGCTTTGAGCCTTTTCTTTCTTTTGAACCAATATTTCAATGAGGTAGGGTGTGTTGTTAGTCTGCTCAAAATTTCATATTTTTTTAGACTAAAATACATCTTAGTTACTAAGCTTGATAAATTATAGTGGAATTCTATGGTATTAATGTAGTAATTTATGATTTTTTAGTTATTCAAATGTATATATAAAACATAAAAAAATTATTTTGTTTCATATCCTCCATGTGCAAAATGTTTAAAGGTTTAGCAACCTACATCAAGCAGCAACCAAGTACAATGGTCATAACTAGAAGAGATAATTGTTTGCTTTACTCCTTTAGTTAGTGTTCTATGTTTTAGGAAAAATATGTTTAAGAGCAATAAACTATATACATATATGATGTATGATAATTGAAATGTGACTGTATTTTACAAAAATACTAGTCGACTAAAACACAGCCAAGACAAGTTACTTTGTACATTTATTATGTAACTTGATACGGTAACATGAGTGCACGTAAGCCGCATCATTCTACTTTCTATATTGTTAGCCAGGCACAGGTAAAAGGTCAATATAAAAAAATAATAAATATATAATCTTATGAGATTTAAGCTATTTCATCTAAACATTTTTTCGTGTTATAATTTGTGTTCATTCTAGAATGAAAGATGCATAATCTATGTTTATTTCCTAATTTTTTATGGTGGTTGCGAGATCAGTCAAATTTACCGAACCTGTACAGAGATTAATTATTGAAAATAACAGAAAGAATATAAAGTTTTTTTTAAGAAACCTTTGATACGTATTTGGACATTATAAAGATTTCGCATGTGAAATTTCAAAATTTTTTGATGCATAAAAATATTTTTAATGTTATGATGAAAATTACTTTGCATGATAGATAGGCAAGATGTGAAAAGAAAAAAAAAAAAGGATGAGAGAAACATTGCTTTAAAAACCTTAAGACTTAATAAAAAATTAGATATTTTGCATATGAAAGCATTGTAATGTTTACTGATAAACTGCCAAATTTCTTAAACATTCGCTTACTAATTTAAAAGTTATAGTATGAAAACTATAACAAGCACAAAATGGTAATGTTACGAGGTCAGTCTCAAGGACTGAGCCTGAGTTGAAAGAATTAATAAATTCATCAGTAGTTATAATTACTCGTTGTTTTTGACTCCTGTAGATGTATCAATTGTATTTTTCTATAATTATATACATTATTGTATGTATATTTATACATACAAATAAAGGAGGTTACCGTATAGAAAACAAGGAAATAAAAAAGTTGTTCATTGGAGGGACTTTAAGGCAGGAAGCCAGATGTAAGAAGGTTATATATTAATCAGTTAATAAGTAGATTAACTTTTCTTAAACTTCCATTTTCATTTAGATTTACTGTGTTAAACGTTACAGAGTGCAAATGTTTTGTTCGTCCTATGGTTCTAACTTTCCCCTTCATAAAAGCTTCAAATCAAAACAATGAGCTAGTAGAACAATGACTTAGTCAAACTGACATATTCTCACTGTTCAAGGCAATAATGATAAGTTAGTCTATAATAAATAATATTGTGTTGCATAACAATAAAAATATTTTTTCATTTGGCAAAAACCATTTTCCACTGCATAAAAACTTATGATAATTTACTTGTTCAGAATTGGATGTTTCTAAAAAGGTAAAATTAGCTTCAAATTATTAAACAAATATTAAAGTAGTCTTTTCAGAAATAAAAATGTTTACTGCAAATAACTCCATAAAAACAAACCCTAAATCCTTTGGATATAATCAAAACTGACCTCTCTCATTTTAAAAAAAGCTGCTCCAGTTAAAAGACTGTCACTACCAGCTTGATGTTGTGGTCCAATCCTCTGCAACTAGAAGCATTAATTGAATAAATAATCACATGCAGTTCAGATCTTTAGCATAATATTTTAAGTATAAACTATAAAAGCATATCTAGATCTTTCAAAATTGATTTACTATTCAAAAAATCAGATTTGCTAAAGGCCACATTTCTAATAATGTCTAAGCATCTGGTATTAACGTTTTTTAGTAAAGATTAGTATCTACATTTTCATATTAAGACTGATTTAATGTGTTATTCTTTTCACTTTTCTAAGAATAATATAATGTTTCAAATAAAAGCCACACAAGTTCCACACACCAAAATTTCTATTTCAGTATATAATTCCAATCATTCTTCCATAACTTTTTGCTATTCTACTGGATATCTCCAAAAATATGCATTTTCTAGTTATTTTATTTGACCTCTCAACAAGTACCTTCTCTCAAACACCCAATTTAAGGTTTGTACCTCTTGCTTTGTAAAATCTCATTAATAACTATATGTATCTGGGCTTTGTGATTTTGACCAATCTTGTAACCTTGAAATATAACTGTGAATGTACTAAGTGTGTCTTCACAAAATTTGGCAAGCTTTTGATAAACATTGCAAAGGTGTTGTAAACAAATATTTTTTCTATAAAGCATTTTTATTAAAGATTTGTCTGTGGATTTTATGGTCTTTACTGAGTCAGTCTAACTGAAAAATTTTCAGGCTAATAAGAAAAATACTTCTTTTCACCAGACAATTTTCATGTCAATTGTACAACATCCAAAACTTCTTAATTGAATATCAGAATTTCTTTTGATAAAACTTTGTATTTCATCTTGTATTTACTCTATCTTTACACTAATTGTAGTGAAACCTTCCGTAGCTGAAAAATATGAAATATAATCAAAAACCTTTTTACCAGAATGACCACAAATTGTAACAGACAATTACAATTATTCATTCTAAACAGCTTCAGGCTTCTAACAATTTATATCTGTCTCCCTTTAATTTTATTGTTCTGTGGCTCTTTGTTTGTTTTGTAGTTATGCACAAATGGGCTATCTGTGCTCTGCCCACCACTGGTATTGAAACCCGGTTTCTAGAGTTATAAGTCCACAGACATACCGCTGTACCACTGGGGGGCGTGGCTCTTTGAATTGTCTAACTAGCTAACAAAGAAATAAATCACCTGGCAAGAGCTTAGTGTAGTTATAGTAAAGAAATGATTGAGTTACATCACGTGGGCTGTCATGGACAGCAGCATGAGCACATTCCTTGAGGATAATTTTTGTATTCAATTTTCTTCATCAATGTTTTCTTGTCTAGCCTAATACATTTCAATTATTTTTGTTAAAAAAATATATAATAATTAATAAAAAACATAAAAATAAAAGAGATATTGCACTCGGGTGCATGGTATTGTAAGCCTATTTTTTTCTATATTAATTGTCCAAAAATATCTTATGTAGCTTTCAAATATTAATTTTAGAACATCCAAAATAATATAATTTATGTGGATTTCTAAACTTAACCTAAAAATGGGCTTAAAAATTTCATTACTTCTCAGTCCAAATACATCTTGATGTTACAGCAAATTATTGACTTTCACCATAAAATAAAACCTTCTGACCTATAAAGCGTAAAATTTGCTCTTTCGATTGGTTATAAACATGTTCAATATCAATTTCAGAGAGAATTATAGTCATTTATTAAAAGATAGAGAATATGAGAGTAGTGCACATGTCAATGTGTGTTGAAAAAATATGGTGATATCTTAGTAAAGCAAAAAGATCAGAGGTTGAAATTTTATATTCTGGCTTGCCAAAATCTACAGCACATGTTTCTAATTGGTTGAATAATATGAAGCCCTTGTAAGGGAAGAGGAAAATCTACCAAGAAATGTCACAGCACCATTAAACCATGACTCTGAGAGGTGCAAACTGGCAATTTATTTCAATATTTCCTTTTGAAATTAAGAAATTAAAACTTAGATGATATAAGAATCTAAAATTTAAACTATGTTTTCATGCCAATCTTATTTGCATACATTGATACTAAAGTAGTTTAATTATAAATATAATGCTGTAAAAAGGTTGTGACATGCACTTTGACTCACCCGTACCCATAAGGATAACATAGTATTACATGATTATTCACGTGTTGTGAAATTCTCGAGAAGTTGGATAAAAACTATATAAATATATATGGGGGATGGAATCAATATCCAATCTACTATTGCACTACCCAAAGAGATCTGATCCATTATAAATTTTGTGATATGCCAAATAATGAGATAGCATTTTCATCAAAGGATTATCTAACAATATTACACAAACTTGAATCACACACATTATTTATTGCATCAACTAGCCCACTACTGCTTTCTACTTGCTTCTAAACATAGTAACATTTTTGCTGATATTAAAGAGTCGGAGTCATTGTATTCATAATACAGGTAGCTGTCATGTACTTTAAATGAACAACATTCCCACCTGTTATATTGCCACACTGTATATCACAAATACTCATGTTAGTGGCAGCAAAGACAATCACAATCCAAACAACAGTCTCAGTAGGGGATTGAGGATGTAAATCAGTGTCATGTCACCACCTAGACCTATAGCATCCCCTTAAATGACCACTCACTCATGCAAAACAAACTTTATATCCCCATGTAAATCTTTTAATACCATGCTATAAAGAAGTGGTAGTTTACAGCTGTGGCACATTTTTAATATGTATGGCCACATCTATTATCCAATCATGTTTAAGGAGGTGGATACCTGATCAAAACTATTATTTGTCCATCCTTAATATATCTATTTCTTTTTCAAATTTTACATATTAAAATTAATTTTAAGTACTTACCACTAAAATATGAAAAACCTTTCCTTGTTAAGTAGCTCTTACAATAAACATGACTAACATGCTGAATGTCCTAAAACAATGCACAGCATGCATCAACTTATCCCTATTTCTTCACATTCCTACCTGTCACTGAGAGTCATAAGGACTACTGGGTCATGAAAATGTTGGTTCTTAAAGAGGAAGCTTATGGCCTAGACCACAACAAATGATAATGTGAGCAGAGTTGAAGAGAAAATTCCAGAACCAGAGTAAGTTCAACAGACTGGATTCATAGGAAAACAAGTGAAGCAGACCAGTGTCAAAAGAGACCAGATCTATGAGAAAACCCAGAAAATGCATTCTTCTCATTGGAATACCTCAGGTGGTGTGTATCTATCTGTGGAACTATCACATACTCAGGTGTGGTCACAGGTGATGGTATAGCTTAAATGTAACAGATGCAATGCTTTCGACAGTATGTCTTTATCTCGCCAATGTATCTGAGAAGCAGCTTGTGTACTCATGTTTAATGCTTCTTTACAAGGAGTCAATAGTAGCGTAGTTTTGTTTGTGGTGAGACTTTATTTGTGTGATTTCACATTCTTATACTATTGCATTATAGATAGTCAACTTTGAAACTGGAGAGCTCATACTATACTAGTATCCTTCCTTAACCATTAAAACATATTCCTCCAACTGTAAGTCTACTTGTAGCAGCACTGCACCATAAATGGTTAGGAATTTGCCATGAACCAACTATGTAGATGCTAAACATATGGCTCATAATGTTACAGCTCACATCTGTGGTGACTCTCTACTGCTTTAACAAGTAAATCACTGTTATAAAATGTGATTAACCCTCCATATGCTTTCTACAGTTAAAGCTATACATATTCATAGTACACTTTTAGAGTTGTAAAATTATTATTAAAAAATTCAAACCATGTTCAGCTTAAATTTAACAGATGATTCAATTACAAATAATTTCACCAACACATTTTGATTAACATTTTCACCTTGTAATTTACTGGCAACTAATTTGCCAAATGCCAAATGTTAAACTTATTTTTTATTATTTTTCTACATATCCAAATGTCTTACCTCTAACTGCTCTGCAACCTCTTGGAGTCCACCTTTAAGGTTTTTACAACTCTTCATCAGATACTTGACATCATAAATTGTCAGGAAATAAATCCTCAGTAATTCAAAGAACTCAGACTCTTCATCTGGTAGATTCTGACCAGTGAGCATCTTCAACAAATAGCCAAAGTCATACCCACTAACAAATAATACAAGATTATAATGAAAAAACTAGAAACTGCACAAAAACAATATACATAAATACATTGCCTAACTGGATAATCGACTTAGAGGTAAGTCTATCTATTTACCAATATTTTATATTAATTATTTATCTTTTTTATATCTTTAGAATAAACAAAGTTAATGATAGGTAGATTTTGTTTTGTATCTATATATATATAAACACAATATCTCTCTCTCCCTCTGTGGGCCTGTTCCTTATACACAGCCACATCTTTAAAGTTACAAACTCCAAACTTGGGATACAGATACTACTTTGTGCAGGGCTATGTAGATGCAGCCTGAAAGGCCATTTTGAGGCTGCAAACTGACCAATATAGCAATTTTTGGCAAACAGAATGACCAACTGATCGCAAATTGAAAAGGCCGGATTTTTTTGGTAATGTATGATCAAGAGGGATATTATTTATGTTTCTTCTCTGTTTGAAGACTTCTCCTATTTATTTTATCCATGATCAATTATGGATTACAATGATTTAAAAATTTCATGGATCCTTCATTTGCTTCTTTGCTCATTCTCTTTTTGCTCTCTCCCTGTCTCTGCTCTTACTTCTACACATACATTCCTACTCTCTAACTCCCCTTGACTGAAAAAGTCTGGTGTTTTCTCTTGAACACACACACACACACACACACTCCCTCAACTAAATAGGCTTGCTTCAACCATATCTTTTGCTTTGCTTGCATGTACTCGCAAGAATCAGCTATACAATGATTTTACAAAAAGGTTTGGTATCAGCAAATTTTCATTTACATTGTGTTTAAACTAGAAGAAAATAAATCAATTCTTCATTAAATGGAACAATAATGAAGTTGGAATACACTGCGAATGACACTTGACCACAAAGCAGAAGTCAGGACACCAAAAGGTGGGGAATTTTGAAATATCATGCAAAGCACATGCAAGAAGCAGGAGCAATGTATTCGGGTTTTTTGCTTTGATTAAAATAGCTTTAGCAAATTTGTATTTTTTTCGGACAGTGTTATTTTTATTGATTTTAATCAAAATAGTTGGTAAAGAAATCATTTTGATTTTTTGTAAAAAATCAAAATTAATATGGTTGATTTAATGAAAACAACTCAGGATACTTTCATTTTCATCTGAGCAACACTGGGTACTCTGTTAGTTATTTATAATCCTAAAAAACAAATAATTTGTTTAAGTTCTTTTTTCTGCAACAGTACATAAAACATTAGATATTAACAATACAGATATTAACCGAGGGAGAATACTAAACTCTGTAGATTTTCTGTATTAAAGCACAAAAAAATGATAAAGCAAAATACCAAATTTGTCTATCCTGGCTTATTAACAAAAGAAGATAATTAATATAATCATTATTAAGTACAACATGACTGGCATATCTTCATTAATTATAAGTATTTGTTTCTGTTGACACCACTGACCTGAAATTGGTGTCAAAAGCATTCAGGTTTCCCACTTTAATTCATCATTGTATCATAGTCACATAGTTTTAAACAAACCCATAAAATCTCATACAAAGGGTCATTTGAGGCACAGTTGTTCAAGATAACAATTAAGTAAGTTCAATGACAAAGTCCCAACGATAATAAAACAGCTTACTTTGTGAGTGTATTATTACATAAGTACATTACAGAGTACTTCAATCATTAATAACCATTATGCACTTGAACATTTCTGCTGAAAATTCATATGCTTAGAACATTTAATATATTTATTTTAAAGCTGTGAGATTTATTTTTACTATTTAATATTTCTGTGATACTTATTGCCACTGCACTTGTACTTTACTGTTTCATGTTGAATTGTCACAAATGTGATTTAATTTTTACAAACACCAATTCTTTGAGTAGATAATATATCTTTATATATATATTTCACAACATAATAAGTTTGCTATGTATAACAGATAATGATATTTAATATTTTGGCACAAACACAGGTCAAATGACCCCACGAACCAAGAAGAAAATGGGAGACTTAGTGCTCTAGAATAATGTAAAACTGTACTAAAATATACTATAATAATCTAAATTTAATTTAATGTATCTTATTTTTAAACTTGATAGCTCTGTCAATGGTTAAATCAATCTAAAATTTTATTGCGATTTTTATGTTTATAATACCATTTGTAAAGTAGAAAAAGTTTAAATCATATGTATGATACTAAGTACTTAAAAGAGAACCAACAAGAATCAGTGACTAAAATGCAATATTAGTATTCAAGTAGCATCTCACTGAAAACCACACACAAAAATACTTAAATTTTTGACACCAATTTCAGGTCAATGGTGTCAACAGAAACAAAATAGAGGGTGCTGTTCTGTACGAAAAAATATTTACATAAGCAAATTATAAAATATCATTTTAGCATGTTTGACCACTATGACAGAATTTCTTGTAGATTGTTTTTATTTTAATATTTCGACTTTTTTATAGTATTCTTTCTGAAAAACAAAAGGATTCTATGACTGAAAAAGTAAATTATAAAAAAAAAATCCAGAAATTCAAAGTCCACAGTTTTGAGTGTTGAATTAGTTTTTAATATAAAAACATCTTCATATAGTACTTCATGACCATCAAAATATTTAAACAACAGAAACTGAGGAAATGTTGAGATATGGGAGTCAAAAGTTAAGAAACTTATGAGGCAAAAGAATACAATGCTATGAATGCAATATATAAAGTGAATTTAGACTACTTAAAAAAGCTATAATGCACGTATGTACTTTCATCTGGTGATACTTCTGGGTCTTATAGGCCACTATTAATGACCCTTTTGTTATTGCTCTATTTTTTCATAATAATAAATTAATGTTTTCATGCCTTTTAAAACTTCTGTTCATTATTATATTTGACATAAATAATACAGCTGGAGAGTGGCTATTCAGCTACAACATAAATCTGTTATTAAAATTGCCTGTATTGACCTAGGTGGACAATGTGCATGCACAGGACAGGTCAAAAGCCTTATATAAAGTTTTCCTGCTACATGTATATTACCTGTGAAAAGATAACCATTTGACATTTTCTGAGAGAACAACACCAGATGTCATTAACAGCTGTGCAAACTCATATGGATCAACTCCTTCTTCCTCATGTTTTTTAAACTGAATTCCTGAATTTGTAAGGAGATCAATGGAGTCCTGAGCATACATATCCTCTCTAAATGAAGATATTCACACATTTAATCAATAAATTAGTGTCAGTATTCAGGTGTCAAGGATTATATTTTGAACATAAAAATCGCTTTAATTAGAAATTTACAATTCACAAATATTTCAGTATAAAATAAAATAAAATAAAAGTTTCAAATTTACTGCATATAATTCATTATATAAAATACACCAATATCCAAATCTGCTTTATCACATCTTGTTCAGGTTGTGTTATAAATAAAATAATTAATAAATTGTTCAATATTTGATATATATCAAATATTTATATATATATATCAAATATTTGCTCAAAATATACAACTATACAACAAATTAAACAAGACAATAAAATATGCTAGCAACTAGTTTAGTCTAGATGCTGAAGTATATTATATGTACATAAACAGTCTGCATACAATGACATGAAAATGTTGTTTTCATAGTTTCATTTGAATCTGGTGGAAAGAAGCAAATTATGATAGCTGCTAGATCAATATAGAAAGTAGCTTGTAAGTAGATGAAAAAGATAATATTACGACTGGAATGTGATGGGCTAAGGGAATCACATGATGATGTCTCGTGTTGAGGACATGGGAGTATTAGAAGGATAGTACTAAGGAAAGAACTTAATATAAATCATAGAAATGCAAGAGGTGTGCACATGGTGGATAATTCTAGAAACTCCATCAACTCTTTCCATATGACAAGGTCAAAGAGTGCATGTCATGACCCGTTACAATGTTAGATTTTAATAATTCAAGGCAAGGAAAATACTGACTTCAGAAATGTTTATTCAGCTCTCTGCACAACAAGATCTAAAATCCCATACTAAGGAGAAGGTGGAGGGACATATGCAAATAAAGAAATTACAAAGATGAGCTCCTTTCTGAAACATACCATAAGAGAGGGAAAAACTATGGGGCATGTCACCAACAAGGGAGGTGGTAGCCTAGTGGGGTTTCACTTGATGGAAGACTGCATCCATCTAAAGCAAGGAATACTCTCTACCCATAAGAAACGGTAGAGCCAAAGATATCATCAAAAAACCTTTTGTGTGGTGTTAGTCCTATAAGACCCAGCTACTCACATCACACATGTGCAATGTCGCTCTCATCATATTTCATTCCAAAAATAAAACCAGTAGATGAGATTGTTTGAAATTTGATAACAACTTTTCTACAAGTATGTTGTTTTAGAAAAATTAAATATTTAAATTTGATTTTTTCTACTATTTCTAATAAAAAATCATTATTTAATGTAGTTATTTGCATTTGGACTTTGAATAGTTCAGCTGCAAGGTGATTTTCATTTAGAGTATAAAAGTACTATTTATTATCTTACAGTTTTCACATTTCCTTTGCATAATCTCTAGAACCTGCTTAATAAATATCAAAAGTGTTTTTTAATGCAAATGTTTATATTTTATTTTCCATGTTCTCTACCATGTCACTAACTAGTTATTATCATCAAAGTACAGTGCATTGAAATGTTTAAAATTAGAAATTTTAAATTTATATATACCTTTTATCTTTTCACTGAATAATCTTAAAATATCTTCTGGTCATATGTGCAATTTCATGTTTTTACCTTTCCACTTAGAGTCTATTTTTAATGTTTTATTTTCCTTTCCAATTTTTTGTCATTTATTATTTATGTTGAAACATCACCTGGTTCCTGTGGACCATTATAGCATTATGACTGGTAGAGATGCGTTAGCTGCAGACAAAATGGTTTGCACATGGCTATTTTTATAAGTATTCATGCACGAGGAGATGACAGGTAAATTTAAAAATAACTAAACCTCTTAAAAATGAATTTTAAAACACAAATAATAATTAACTAAACTATAAAAGTAAAACCTAAATATAATATCACTGTCTATCAAACTACTGGTATGTATAAGGTGAGAAACAATAGCCAAGCACTAGGGATATTGATCTCCACAATGAAACTAAAGTGGCAATTAGCTTATAATTTGAAGAATAATCTATTACTTAGTTTCCTTCTAGCCTGGAGAGACTAACTGAGAAATCTGCTCTTTCTATTGGTCATAAGCCTCCATTCAAGTCTATAAAAGACTCGATTAGCTACAGATTACTCTGGAATGTGAGAATGGTGTCTAGCAGGGTGGGAAATATAATTATTTTTCTCAGAATTATAGTCATTGAAATATGAAACTAATGTTTGGAAATTGACCTTGTATGTGAAGAAACTAATCTAGACTGTCAGAGAGGTACTGAGAGTAAGCTGTAAAGAAACATACGCAAGCAAACCTAAGATCTTTCAACTCCACGCAGTCACGTGACAAGAAAACTGAAGATTTAACTGTCTGTTTCTTTAAAAATAAATAAATAACTTGAATAATTTAAAATTTGAATTACAGAATACTTGATAATAATAATTTCATTAGAATATATTAACCCTTTCATAACCACGAAAATATCCATTAGAGTAATTATACTGTGATTTTTGATAATGTATGCACATCTTTACAAAATTTTGAAGGTTATTGGTAAACATTACAAGTTTTTTGTACATAAAATATCAGGTTTTAAAATTAAGTATTAAGATTTTTTAATTAAAGATTTTCTTATTTTATATTCTAGCTTGTCAATATCGGTAGTTTGAGTTCCTTATTTGTACAAAACTGTAGATTTTGTATTTTTGACATGATAAACATCTAATTTGAACCAGTGCTGCATTCAATATATCACATGACACACAAAAAGTGATGTTTAACTGTGTTTTTTTAATACTTACTTTTAAATTAACAAATCAACTAATATATAATACTAAAATTTGAATTATGTTCTACAATTTTGTACCGAACTTTTTGACATAAATTCATAAAATAGTAGTTCAATAAAATTTTGAATTCAAGTCAACAAACGCGATGACATTGCCTTTGACATGTGACCTGTCACGATAGGATTAATAACAAAATGGTTTAATTAAATTGTGATTATAACTCAGTAACACTTTGTGACATGCACAGAAAGGAATTTAAAAATAGCACAGAGTCTCATAGGGTTCTATGGACAATGTGAGTAGCCAGGTCTCAAAAGGTTAAAGAGTTGAGTAGGTGGGTGGAATTTAAGATTTCTCAACTGGCCATTAACTCACACATAGTCAGCTGAGCATGAGTGTAGCTCTGGGTAATAAATCATTCCATATTAGAGAAATACATGAGGTATTTGCCAAAAGTTAACATTTTTCTAAATTGAAAATGTATTTCCAATAATATTTCTACTGACACTAATGGCTATTACTTAACTGCCAGGGTTTCTACTTTGCCCATCTAAGGATTAGTCTGATTTTCTCTTGCTTGCTCCAGTCTTGTATACCACACTCAATTGCCCTTGGCGATATTTGTCTCATGATACTCTCCACCTATGTCAATGCACCCTCCATCCTTGTACTGTATACAGGCACCTTATTCAGATAATTTTATCACTTTTTCAAGACTCATACCATCCCAGTCTCTAATACCGGCTCTTGGTGGGAAGGAAGGGCAGGAGAGTGTCAATGGAAGTAACTATTATTGGAAATACATTTTCAATTTAGGAAAATGTTAAATTCCAAAACATATTTACTTCCACTGCCACTTATAGCTAGAATCCTACATTGACAAGGTGATTGGGCCTGTGAGGGTATTATCCACGCAGAAAGCATCTGCATGGATCATAGGTATACCAAGATAAGGGTAGTACCCGAGTGGGGGAACCACACTACATCCAGAACATGTATGTTCTTCACCCTGAACTTAATTCCTGTATCAAGGGTGGAATTGTACATGAGTAATTATCACTATAGGTCAGCACCCAACCAGACAGCTGAGGTTCCAGTACTCAGAGTTGGAATTAAGGGTTCTTGATCCCTATATCCCACATTGGTGGCTAGGGCAATTGCACTGCAACACTATATATAGATAAACTTTAGAGTGATCCCAATATGTAGCCAAAGAGTGAGGTGTTCCAAACCATCGGAATCATGATGAGAAGGTAAGCAACACCTAAGTGGATAAACCTTCTCCTCAATCTGAAAAAGAATGAAAGGCAACACCCTAGGCTCGGAATGACGGGATCGTGTATGTCTTACTCAACCAAAGGAACAGAACTGATCTGGTTTGGGATTTATGAACATTTGTCCTCACTCTACAACTGAGTGGGCAAGGAGCATTCCACTTGCCCCCGGAATTATGGAGAGGATGTGGAACACTGTGTTCAACCAAGGACCTAGGATAGGACCACTCCGTGTTTGGAATTACCAAGAGATAGTGGACCTCCTTCCATGATTAATATACTGAACTGATATTGATCAAAAAGAAGGGTCATGCACACCCCAACCAGATAGCCAAGCATCAAAATCAGAACCGGTATTGCGAGTAGGCTCCCGCATAGGCTGGAGCTGCTCCTACCAACATCTGAGAAAAAACATCCAGGGATCCGGGTAGGAGGGCCTCCAACATTGCTCTCTTCTCCAAGAGTGGAGGAATTCACTCTAACACTCTGGAGGTAAGAACTCCCTGGCTCCACTAGTAGAATCTGGAGGGTAATGCACATTGGAGAGCCCTGAGGAACAGTTTCTGGAAACAGTGCAATAAGTGAACCAAGTTCCCTAAATTTTTAAAAGTAAACTAATTACACTAATCTAATGAGGAACTTTTCATATCATCCTCCCTAGCAGCTTGGGACTGGGGAACAAAAGGTGCTTCCTTACACCACAAAAAGAGAACAGAAAGGACAAATCTGTGTTGGAAAAAATGCCAGACAGGTATTCCGACCAAACGAGAAACATCACATCTGCATAAGGTCCCACACTGATAGACTGTGCAATGAGTTACCACGAATACAGACAGCATGCATTAGCCAGGTGTAAGATTAGGCAAAAACCTGGCACTGTCACTTTTTTTTTCTTTGTGAAGTATAGCCTGGAAGATAAAGTTTAATTAAGTGAATGTGTTAAATAGTAAATAGGTGGATAATAGCTTGAAATATGCTAAATAATGAATTTTTAAAATCTGAGACAGTAAGAATAGATGGAATTTGCTGATCATTGAAGCACCTATAATAAGAATGTACATAAACAAACAAAAACAATGGTAACTTGTTATTTAGCATAACATGTGGAAAATATTACTGTACAGAAGTTAACAAATTTGGTAATATAGGGGGTTGAGTATGTACCATTTTCTATATGTTGGTGGATGAAAAACATTTCCAAAAATGTTACATGACATATTATGAAACATGTTCGATGTATTCAAGATCTTTACTGGATACTGAGCGAAGGGGAAATTAGGAATCAGGAAAGCAGATACAAAAGTCAGGTGAACTAAGCTTACTATCAGACCAATTTTTTGGATTTTTTGCACCAAACAGAACTATCAGCTTTATATGAAAACAAGATGAACAAGGTATGGGTTTATCAAGATAAGGAATCATCCTGCCCATTCAATTATCAGATATCTCAAACATCTAGCTGAGAACTAATGCTACTTATCCATGTACGAGAACAACACTTAATTTCGATAACCTTTTGTCAATTACATTTCCTTTAAGTGTGCTAAGTTTAACAACTGATTTTTCATTTTTGGGGATAGAAAAAATTTTTTAAAGGTGACATGACTTTCAGAATTGTAATATAAGAATAAATTATACATTCTACAGGTGTATATTCTTTTCTTTGAAAATACTAATCTCACTGAATAAAAGAGAAATACATACGTCAGGTTGAATTTAAAGTTGAACTGCCAGGTGGTATAACCTGGTGGAGTTTCACCCAGGTCACTCAAGAATGTAAGTCCAAGCTGTATTATCTTTAACAAGTCAACATTACATTTCAAAAGTTGGTACTGGTACTCAGCAGTACTACGAAATTCTCCTATTGGTCGTGCTACAACGCCGGGAAACTCTGTGTCCTACAAAAATACAGAACAGCAACATTTTTCTTCAGTTTTAAAATGAGCCTTTATAAGCTATCTGGTTATAGTTATTTCAAATAAAAATATGTTTCTGTTATATTAATTATTAATATAGATTGTTCTCTGAAATTTAAATCTAGTACTTTACACGTACATGCTGTATCCAATTCACAGATAATAACAGTTAATCCAAGTGCAATAAATAAGAGGTTTATCCACAGAAAACCTGATACAATGAACAGTTCAACCACACCATTATTAAATATATAGATACAAAAACATGCAAATAGTGGGTCATAAGTACTTAACAATAAAAATGGAAATGCTGACAGAATAAAATTATAACCTTGTTAATGCTAAAACACCAATGCCACTGTTTATACATATACAATATGCAGTTTTGTAACAATGCATTTCTTCTCATGCATGGAAATTTGTATACTAAACACATCCATTTCAAAACATTGAATTTTTACTGCTGCACATGCCACACTTATTATATAATTAGATGAAAAGAAAATATCTACAACAAAGGGCATGTTAACCCGCTGACTGCTGATTTGCTGTATAGGGTACAATCTGCCTCTGATAGTTGAATACGGGTGTGCTGTATATAGTGCATGGTTTGCAAAAATTCTGCAAACACTTAGAGCAGCCGCAGTCAATAGATTAATAAGCTTTTTTGCTGTGATATATTTCAGGGTTTACAAACCTTTTTTAACTCCAGTTAATGGAAAAATCTTTATAAAAAATTTTGGAACTATAAGGAATATACAAACCTATAGTGTTGTTTCTTAATTTAGCTTCATGAAGAAGCTATCAAGTGAAAGTTATGAGGTTCAATTATTGTACAACAAACTTGAAGGAAACAACACTTCAACTATTCCTAACACTTGCAAGCATTATAAATTTCCTGAGACATTTTTTAAATTTCTTTATTCTTTGTTTTTTCACTGTATGATTCTGTAATCCAGTGGTTGGATATCACTGTTATATTCAGTAGAACAATTATGGATATTCCACGTCATCTGCTGCTTTTCTCAGCACCCATGACCAAAAGTCCATGTGCCACAATGCAAAATGTTTAGGCTGTATCTTCAATCAATAAAATGGATGTGATGATAAAGTGTTCCAAATATTAAGTTGTTTGTGCATGTCTCTGGTCAATAGGACAATGCTTTTTGAGGTTACTGTAAATGATTAATTTGGCTTTTATTTCCACAAAGAATAGTCACTTTACATAGATTGAAAATTAAAAAAGGAAAATAAAAACTCTTTCAGTCAAAAATATTACCCACCTCTAAAACACTCTCAAAAATGATTACTGTACTTCCAATTTAATTTGGAAAAGTTTAAGGCTTCCTCTAGCTGCAAGATCACAAATTCATAAAATATGATTTTCATATGAATGAAATAATCCTTTTGAAAACTTTAACATTAACTAAATCTTATAAGTTCACATACAAACAATTATCAAGTAAAGGTACTTTCCTTTGTCCAATCTTATTATTTTGATTGTGTGAATAAATATTGTTTATTTATATTTTTAAATTGTGTTTAGTCTCTTTCTTTCACAGAAATTAGATTTACTCCTCGATATTTTTCCTGATCAAATCTCCTGTTATTTTTGTTCCTATTTTGTCACTCTTTTAGGAAATCAGTTTTACTATAGAATATCACACTCTAGTTTAAATAACATTCATCAGCTACCTTGAAATGCCCCACCATTAACTTTTCTTTTAGCAGTTCTTTTGTCATTTTCATTAGACAATAAAAAAGGTTTGTGGGACTCACTAAATGCAATTCCCACTGCTCTATTTCAGAACCAGTGTAATCTGCAGTATACCATTTATGAAATACACTATTACTACAAAATAAGATATACTATTTTACTTCATCATTCATTATTTAATTGCAAAATATTGAATACAAAAATAAAAATTTAAATAACATTTTAATCATATTCTTACTTAAAGAATTAGGTATGTCCAGTATAAAACTTGAACATGTTATCACCTTAACTCTTTCAGCATGGGCTCAGTCCGACTTCGTAACCATTTTGTACTTGTTAAAGTTTTAATGCTATAACTTTTAACTTAGTAAGTGTATGTTCACAAAATATGGGAGATTGTCAGTAAAAATTACAAGGCTTTCATATGCAGAATATCAGATTTTTTTATTAAGTCTTAAGGTTTGTTAAGCAATGTATTTCTCATGCCTTTTTACTTCTCGCATGTTGCCTATCCAACATGCAAAGTAATTTTCATTTTATGATTAAATACATTTGAAATAACCATAAAATCATAAATTACTATATCAAATACCATAGAATTCCACTATAATTTATCAAGCTTAGTAACTAAGTTGTATTGTAATCTAAAAAAGCTACGAAATTTCAAGCAGACTAAAGACACAATTTACCTCTTTGAAATCATGGTTCGTAAGAAAGAGATGCCATCCTAAGAATTTAAAATGGCCAAGAAACCCACTGAGGGGAAATTCTGAGCTTTCGATTGGTTATTCATGTCATGTATAGAAGTAAGTGTATATAAGGGAGTGTTTCCAAAAATGGAAAGAGGTGGGTGGGGTGCCAGTGTGATTGATTTATTACATGAGCAATATCTTAGCAAATAGAAAAGATAAGATATTCTTATTTTATATTCTAGCTTTTCAATATTGGTAATTTCAGTTCCTAATTCATAAGAAACTATAGACTTAGTATTTTGACATCACAAACATCTAATTTCAACCATTGCTATATTCAACATACCACATGCCACACAAAAATTGATGTTTAACTGTGTTTTCTTTAATATTTACTTTTAAGTGAAGAAATTGAGTAATGTTTAATACTAACATTTTAATTATAATCTACAGTTTGATACCAAACATATTGACATAGATTCATGAAATAGTAGTTGAATAAAATTT